AAAGAGTCCTTCCGCCCCGACTACGACTTCAGCACGGCCCGGAGCCACGAGTTCAGCCGGGAGCCCAGTCTCAGCTGGGTGAGGGCTCCCCCACCCACAGCTGTTCACACTGCCCTCCCCATTTTTACTGGCCCCTAACCCGGTCCGTGCCTGCTGTCCTGGCACCTAGTCAGCCGAGCTGCGCCCATTCTAGGTGGTGAATGCGGTCAACTGCAGTCTGTTCTCGGCTGTGCGGGAGGACTTCAAGGCCCTTAAGCCGCAGCTGTGGAATGCAGTGGACGAGGAGATCTGCCTGGCCGAGTGTGACATCTACAGGTGGGCTGGCGGCCCTGCAGGAGGGCACTGGTGTGTGTGGCACCTGGGGCCTCACACCCGTCTCACTCCACACTATCCAGCTACAACCCGGACTTGGACTCGGACCCCTTTGGAGAAGATGGCAGCCTCTGGTCCTTTAACTACTTCTTCTACAACAAGCGGCTTAAGCGGATTGTTTTCTTCAGCTGTCGCTCCATCAGGTTGGCGTCTCCCTTCCCCCAGCTTCCTGTTAGGCCCACCCCACGCCTGGCTCTGTCCCCTCTGGGGGCAGCAGCAGGCCAGGGTGGGCAGTTCTAAGACTGCTTCCCCCCTCCCCCAGTGGGTCCACATACACACCCTCGGAGGCAGGCAATGAGCTGGACATGGAGCTGGGGGAGGAGGAGGAGGAACTCAGAGATGGAGGCAGTGAGGGCGGATCCGAGGAGACCAGCCCCATGGAGGACAGGTGTGTGATGGTGGCGGCAGACGGGCTCCCTGGAGCGTGGGGTGGGCAGGGCGGGGTGGGGCCTCTGCCTGGTCTCCTGGGTGTTAGCCCCTCAAGGCTCCTGTGTGCTGCCCCCCCCTGCCCAGAGTCCCGGTGATCTGTATGTGAGGAGGAGAAGCAGAGGCCCAGCTTCATCCAGCGTCAACCAGTGCCTGGACCTGCCCACCTGAGGGGCCCCAGGGCCCCCCCAGCTGCTGGCCAGACCCTGGCACGGCTCCAGCTCCAGCTGTCCACCTAGCCCTTTGGTTCCAGCCTATGGACGGCCACTCACACCCACAGTCTCTGCTGCCCACATTGTGGGTGGACTGGACAGACAGCACGGGGCCTGATGGGCACAGCCGCTGCCCTCCCCAAACGAACTGACTGAGGCAGGGACCGCTGGACCACAGAGTTTATTTTTGTATTTTGTACCCTGGGCCTGCACACTCCAGCCCGCAGGGCCTGAGACCCAGCAAGCAGGCCTGACAGTCGTCCTCCCTGGCTTGGGCCGCTCTCGGCGCCCACCTGTACCCCCACCTTGCCCACTGGGCAGCGTGCACTGAGTGCCACTTTGCTGCAGCTTGTTTGTTTCCAATAAAAGTTTAT